AAAAAAAAAAAAAAGCCACGAGGTTTTGCTGGTTTTGGTTTGTTTTGACCCAGGCATTGATGCTGCTTGGGACCCACTATAGATGAACTTCCTCTCTCCCTTCCCCTCACCCCCGATCTCCCATTATAGGAGAATCCCTTTGAAAGGGATGCCTTGTACAATTTTATATATTTTATTGAAGATTTATTATTTCTTATCTCTTATTTCGAATTAAATTAAAAAAGAAAAAACCTGTTTAATCGCGTGTGGGTCTGTTAGTGCTTGGAGTCCTTTGAAAGGTGCCTCCTCTCCGTGTGTGTTTTGCACCGCTGGGTCAAGTTCAAAGGAATGTTTGGGTTGCCTTTATGATTATTTCCCCTTTCTCAATCTGATTTAAAGCCAAATTTGCAGCGCATGAAGGTGAATTGCAAGTCAACATTTCGGAGTCAAAAGCCAAAGCTTTTATGAGGTTTCCTTGTTTTTAACGACCTCTTTTAGGCGCCTCAATTCTTTACAGCGCCGCGCTCCGCTGATGTTTCCATCACTCTCAGCCCCTTTCCCTGTCCTTAGGGCTCTCCCCTGGACTCTGTGCTTTAGGGGCAGATGGATCTCGACTCCTGAAGGATTTTGGGGGAATTTGGGACAGACAAAACCTGTCGGGGCCCTGCAGTGCTCCAGCTGCATTTCGGGGCACCGGGGTGCTGTGCTGTCCCACGGTTTGGGGCCAGGCTGGGACAGCAGGTGCTGGACACCCTCCCCGGGCTGGGATCAGAGGAGCCACGGCATGGAAATGTCCCAGGAGGGCTCCTGGGGTTAGGAGGGGACCCGGGGACAAATCAGGTGGTTTTGCTCCCTAACCAGATGACTTTGCCCCCTGCCCAAGTGTGCTCCTTCTAACTAGGTGTGTTTGCCCCCTGCCCAGGTGTTTTTGTCCCCTAACCAGATGTGTTTCCTCCTGCCCAGGTGTCTTTTACCCCTAACGAGAAGTTTTTACCCCCTGACCAGTTGTTTTTGCCCCCTAACCAGGTGTATTTCTCCCTAACCAGGTGTATTTCTCCCTAACCAGGTGTGTTTGCCCCTCTGGAGCTTCCCCCGGCTGCGCTCTCCCCTCTCCTGCGGGCACAGCGCTCCGGGCAGCGCCGCTGGAGCTCCGGGAATTCTCCCGTCCCGTGCCGGCTCCTCAGCATCCCCGGATCGGGATGGAAGGGCCGGGGAACGGGGCACTGCCCAGGCGGGCTGTGGGGAAGGGATGCAGAGCTCGCCTTGCTCATCCTCTCCCCACTCCCAGAAAACCCTTGAGGACCCCCCAACTTTATAAATACAGGGAAAAGCTGGAGGAGAGCCCAGTCTCCACTTATGCTCTTCAAATTAAAATTTACCGCTGCATAAAAAATGGAGAAAACCCGCTTCTTTCCCCGATTCCCTTTTCCCGAAGCATCACCCCCCAAAATCCCGGGCAAGGCGAGGTCCCCCCGGCCCTGCCCTTTCCCGGCCGCCCGTCCCGAGTGCTGGGTTATAAATAAGCCAGCGGTGTTTCTGAACCTTCGGTATAAATCAGCTGTGTCAGGGATTACAGCTAAATCTTTTTGCTGGAAATTCTTTGAGCGCGGGAGCTTTGCGTGCGTTATGCTAGATCCCTAAATGGATACAGATTTATTACGGCGCACAGGAGTGTTGAAGGAAAAGCTTCCAAATCTCGGTTACAACCTCGGCTCTGGGAAAGGCGGGAGGGATCCGTGACACCTTCTCGGAGCCTGCGGATGGCATGACAATTCACCCCTGCGCCCATTATTAACTTGTTCCAATTAAAGCCTTCAGAAAGGCCGAGTTAATTGAGTATTATATTTTATTAGGAGGGAGGTGTCAAGCTTTACTCATGAGACTTCATCATCGTCCTAATGGGAGCTGCCCCGCAGGCAGATCTGTAACTGAATAAATTACAGCGAGGCAGGGAAATCAGAATGCTATCATTAAAAGCGATGCACTTACTGAAATTCCTCCCCCACTTTCGCAAGAGGCTGGGGAGGTGTGGCTTTAATTAGTTATTTTAATGCAAAGTTAAATTGTTCCCAAAGTATTTTCTGACACAAAGCAGATGCGATGATTAGAAGTTGAGTGAGACTGAAAGGACTTGGCACATGTTCCAGGTACATCTATATATTTTAAATTCCCAATAGAAAGTGAAAAATAATTAGAGCAATAAATAATAAACATTAAAAACAACGCGATAAATTATCCCGATCCTTAAAACCCGGACTTGCTGAGCGGCGGCTCAGGCCAGCCGGGCACACCTTCAGTCACCGGGGATGGATTTGTTGACATAAACATTTGGGATCGCGCTTTTCTGCCTCGCTCGGGCCAGGCGTTCATTACCCAAAGCCACGGGCGCTCCGAGCCTGCATTTCGTGTTGTCGCGTCGCCTTGTCAAAGGCCGGAATTGCTGCGTTTTATGGCGAACGAGCCAAACCGGGCTGGCTGCAGCGGCGTGCCCGGGACAGCGGGGAATCCTCGGGGCTGCGGGCACCCAGAGACCCCCGAGCCACGGGACGGGAATGGGGGTGAGGATGAGGATGGGGTGAGGATGGAGGTGAGGATGGGAGTGGGGATGAGAGTGAGGATGGGAATGAGGATAAGAGTGGGAGTGAGGATGAGGATGGAGATGGGGATGAGGATGGGAATG